CCTCTCCCTTCCTCTCTGTAAAAAAAAAAAATCAATAAAATATATATTTTTAAAAACATCTGCATTGGCAATATCATATGGTCCAACCTAATATTAAGACATTAAGTTTTAGCCAAGATCGGTTTGGCTCAATGGATAGAGCGTCGGCTTGGGGACTGAGGGGCCCCGGGTTCGATTCCGGTCAAGGGCATGTGCCTTGGTTGCAGGCATATCCCCAGTAGGGGGTGTGCAAGAGGCAGCTGATCGATGACTCTCTCTCATCGATGTTTCTAACTCTCTATCTCTCTCCCTTCCTCTCTGTACAAAAATCAATAAAATATATATTTTTTAAAAAAGACATTAAGTTTTATAATTGCTAACACATTGAGCATCGCTTTCTACGAAAAGCTTGAGTTTTCTTTAAACATCATGACCATCAGCCAAATCACGATTTCTTCTAAGAAGGCTCCAAGTTGACGGGAGCTTATTACACCGTGGGCTTTTCATTGGTAAATAACTTAAGCCCTTTCATGTGCAAATCACTGAGAGGGCCATTGTTTCTGCCAGGTTTGCCCCGAGGTGAAAACCGCTCCTGAAACCAGGTGGGGAGCGTGTGTGGCAGTGCTTGGGGGGGGAAGGGAGCTATTTATGAAATGAGGATTTAACCAAGTATAATCCCAGCGTCACCGCCTGTTCACATGAGAAACCAAAGCTCATTTAACTGCAGGCAACAGGAGTTTCACGCTGACAGCACCAACTGTCTAAAATCCCAAGCTAGGGCCTCAACGGGAAGGACCCAAACGAACCATTGGGAGGGCATCCATGAAACGTCAGATTCTCTTTTCAAATACAGTGAAGCAAGCATCATGTCTTTTTCATAGGACTTTCCCAATATCCTGTGAAATGAGAGAGCTCCTAGCAGCCATTCCCCGAAGCTCTGCTTGGCAGGGTACATCATTTTTGGGGTTGCAGGAGAGCCGCTTAGACACGCTTGTTGAGATGGTGAAAATATGAAATTGGAACTCCTGTAAGAAAACTGGGGGACTGTGGGGGTTCCCCTCTCTCCTATTTGTTAAAAATTAATATAACCCTGGCAAGGGTGGCTCAGTTGGTTGGGCGAATAGGTGGTGAGTTTGATTTCTGCTCAGGGTGCATGTCCAGGTTTTGGTTTGATCCCCATCAGGGTGTATGCTGGAGGCAACTGATCTCTCTCTCTCTCTCTCTCTCTCTCTCTCTCTCTCTCTCTCTCTCTCTCTCTCTCTCTCCCTCTCTCTCCCTCCCTCCTTTCCTCTCTCCCTCCTTCCCACCTTCCTCTCTCTAAATATATATATATTTATATATTATAAAAAAGGTTTTATCTTTAAAAAATTAATATAAATTGAAGCCCTCAAATGTTATGTGTTCATATTAAAAATAAATGCACTAGCCCTCACTGCTTTGGCTCAGTGGATAGAGCGTCGGCCTGTGGACTAAAGGATCTCAGGTTTGATTCTAGTCAAGGGCATGTTCCTTGGTTGCGGGCATATCCCCAGTAGGGGCTGTGCAGGATGCAGCTGATGGATGTTTCTCTCTCATCGATGTTTCTAACTCTTTATCCCTCTTCCTTCCTCTCTGTAAAAAAATCAATAAAACATTTTAAAAAATAAATGCACTAAAAATCATGGCTATTGGAAGCAGTCAGGGACTGAGACAGAAAGTAGTTCAATCCATTTTATAGTTGAAACAGGCTCAGAGTTTAAGTGACTTGCCCAGTGCCTACGGGGAAAGGGGAAAACTGAAGATCTTGATTATATCCACATGCTCAAAGAAACTAGGAGACAACTAAAACACAGGTGGTGTCTACGTACATTGCTCTGACAAGAGGGAATTTTAATCACCACCTTCCACTGCCTGTTATGAGCTGTCAGATCCCGTCTGATTTAAATTTGTCCTTCAGCCACTGCCACAGCATTGTTGAAGGCAGATATGCTTGTTTTGAGTGCCAACTCCAGCTTAGCAAAGGAGCCAGTTTCACCCACTGAGACTTCAATGCCATAGATAACCTGACATTTTGCTCTGGCACTGTTTTCCATCTATATTATTTTAATACTAGGGGCCCAGTGCACTAATTCGTGCATCTTGAAAGGAACTGTGGGTCGTGAGGCTGGGGTAGGCACAGAGGCTGGTCTCAGCCCATTCTCTGTGCCCCAGCCAAGCCCTTCCCCCTGCAGCCCTGGTCCCCTGTCTGCCAGCAGCCCTGCTCCCACCGCTGCCGCCGCCCCTGCACACTGATGGTGCTGGCCCTGCTCACACCCGCTGATGGTGTGGAGCCATTGAGGATGGTGCCAGCAGTGGATGTGAGTGGTGGTTGTTGCCCCAATCGCTACTCAAGAGGGGAGGTGGAGATGCCCTCAGGGGTGATTGGGGCCAGCAGCTACCGCTGGGACTGGTGCTGGGTGCCTGTGCAAGTGTGAGCGCTGGGCAGGACTGTGGCGTGTAGGAGCAAAGAATTTCCAGTAACCACCAGAGGTTTTCCCCAATGACAGCAACCGGCTCCCCATCTTGGTCTGGCACCCCTGCTTACCTGCTCCACCATCCCACTATCGCTAACACTAGTCATCTTCCATGCTCTGGCCCTGGTCATCAGAGGACATCATAGCGGCCAGTTGTTTGTTTTGCCATTTGGTCCACTTGCATTTTAGGGTTTTATAAATATAGAGGCCCAGTGCACAAAATTCATGCATTTGGAGGGGCCTCTCAGTCCAGCTTGTGCCCTCTTGCAGTCCAGGAGCACTTGGGGGATTGTCTGACTAATGGCTTAGGCCTGCTCCCTGCTATGGAAGTGGGAGATGCTCCTGCCATCACTAATGCACCTGCCAGCTATAATTCTGGCTTCTGGCTGAGCAGTGCTCCCCTGTGGGAGTGCACTGACCACCAGGAGGGAGCTCCTGCATTGAGCATCTGCCCCCTGGTGGTCAGTACACATCACAGCTGTCAATTTACATATTAGCCTTTTATTATTAATATATAGGACATTTTTATTGATTCCAGAGGGGGAGGAATAGAGATAGAAACATCATTGATTGGCTGCCTCCTGCATGTTTCCTGTTGGGGATCAAGCCAGCAACTGGGAATTGAACTATGACCTCCTGCTTCATAGGTCGATGCTCGACCACTGAGCCATACCAGCTGGGCTCCATTCATATTATTTAACTTCTCTGCCTGGTTTGACTATTAGGGAGTGAATCAGAACACATTCAATTTGCAGGGAATGAGATGGCTTAAGTTCTTAGCCCCACAAAGCCCAATATATCAAAGAGATTATCCAATGCACTAGTTCTTGGATTCTAAAAGAAACGGGAGAAAGATCCCATGTGCCATTTAGAAAAACAGGTTGTTTCCACCCAACGTTGAGCTTCCTTTTCCTCCTCTTCCTCAGGAGGCTGAACGTCAAATGGAATCCTACATGGTCGGTAAATTCACTAAAAATGAAGTCTTGCCTCTATAGAGAAGTTCTATGTAAGCAGATTGCTTACATCGATTGAGCCACATTTTCCACAGAGAGAACTAAACTGTCATAAACTTTTTCATATTGCTCATATGTAAATGTAGATACAGACCAGCCTCCCTATGTACATGTTCAGTGTCTTGTACACATGAACTTGCTAGTGCAGCAGTGGGGTGAGAGAAGACTGTGAGAATGTGGTTTATAATGGCTGAGTGACCACTCCACATGGTCAATGTGTTCCAGTAACAAAATCATTTGCTTGCTTGGCATATAAACATTGAATGCATTAAAAACACCGAGACTGTTTTCTTTTTGCTTTTATTTATTACATTTGGACCTTTAAGAAACATATACCATCAGATATTCCACTATTTAGTAAAAATCTAGTCTAGTTTTTAGGAAGCATATGTGTCACAAACCATCTCGTTTCTACTCGCTAAAACTTAACTAAGTTTATCAAAAAGGTAGGCTCTGATCTACGGGATCCTGAGCCTTGAGGTTTTGAATGTTTTGATTATTGTAAAAACAATTTCAAGTGATTGAACTTAATTCCGAGCTGTTTTCTTCTAGAACGGGCCAATCATTTTGAAGTTATATACTCCCTTGCAAGAATATTCAATTCCTTAAGCTTTTGTGATCTACTGTCTTTGGAAAACTTGATAAAAAAGTAATTTTCCCCCCCTGTACAATAAGGATGAATTGACCAGAACGTACCCAATATTAATTATAACAAAAAGCAGGACAGTATACATGTGCCATGTTTGCTTTAATGACTATTTCATAAGCTGGTGACTACTCTATGGAGACTATTTCTTGATCAATACGATCCAAGCATAGTTGCAGGTACACTCAACACTTTAACACAACTCTTGGTTACCTGACATTGATTACAAATGAAAAGGGCAAGTGAACAAACATATACTCATACATGATTACGTTTTCAAGAAGCTACCTTTGTGGAAGTACACAGGAAAGGGAACTTTCAGGAAGCTGTTGATGGGACTGAGATTTAAAGCTATGGCTTTGGTAAGCACCCCAGTGAGCTGTAGGAAGGCATTTGTAAGAGTAGATTCTGCAGCATCAAAGGAAAATTTTCCAAAAATGGGTATTTTCTCAATAATTTAAATTCCGAGGCTTTCAGCAGTGAAGGATAGAAACAAGACCTAAGGAAGAGAACCATCATCACAACAACTTACAAAGGTGACTATGGCCCAAGCAGGTTTGGCTCAGTGGATTGAGCATCAGCCTGTGGACTGAAGTGTCCCGGGTTCGATTTTGGTCAAGGGCACATGCCCAGGTTGTGGGCTCAATCCCCAGTAAAGGGTGTGCAGGAGGCAGCCGATCAATGATTCTCTCTCATCGTTGATGTTTCTCTCTCTCTCCCCCTTTCCCTTCCTCTCTGAAATCAATACAAATATATTAAAAAAAAAGAAAGGTGACCATGCCATTTGGCTCATGATGTCATATGGTCCAAAAGCTTTGGGTGGCGTGATATGGACAAAGAAAACATTAGTACACAAACCACATAACACCATTAAAACTCAGAAACATTTTTTTTTTCATTTAAAAAAGGATTTAGAATACATAAAACAAGGCATCGTTTATTCCTTTTTCTCATCTTCCGGTATGGGATCTGTTGGAGGCTCCTCCACTGTGGCGCTGTTGCTCTCGGAGCCAGTGTTACTGTCACTGGTCCCTTCCTCGGCCATGCTGTCCACCCCCTCCTGTCCACTCTCCTTGTCCTCCGGAGTAGATGTGCCTTCTTCACCATTCTGCTGGCTTTCTGTGGTTTCTTCAAGGTGTGTCTCCTCTGTAAGCACACATTTGTCACTGTTAGTTCCGAGACAGAAACTTACTCTTCTAATCAGGCCGACAGCTGAGAGCTCCACGGTCCCAGCATGTAGCTATTAAGCACCTAAACGGAGCTAGAGTGACCAAGAAACTTCCAGCATGTTTGAGATAATTTGGGGTTTAAGAATCTACTTTTTCACTGTAAATTTATGAAATCTAAATACTTCTTGACTTGTATTTAAAAATGTAGCTTCAAATGTAGATGTGCTGTAAGTACAAAATACACATCAGATTCCAAAGACTTCATGAAAAAAGAATGTTCAATACTTTGAGGCGGCTCCGGGCAGCCAGGGGAGGAAGGCCCATGCTTGCACGAATCTCTGTGCGTCGGGCTTCTACTATAAAATAAGAGTGAATGTCAACTGTAATTGGGAAAAGGAGTGAATTACATGTTGAAATGATACTGTTTAGGATAAACTGGGTTCATTAAATGTACTGTATGTTTAAAATTTCCCTTGTGTTGCTCTACTTTGAAAAATGTCATTAGTAGAACATGTAGTCACACAAGTGACTTATGTGTATATCTACTGGACAATGCTGTCGTGGAGTGCTTTGTATTTAATAGTTAAGAAAGTGCGTGTGGAAATGATATAAGGTCAGTATTTTAGGTATCTCATTAAAAGTCACGTTGGGCTGTTTTCTGTCAGAAATTAAGAGCATGAGGTTTTTTGCTCTAATAGGTTCTGTTTTCTTCTGTTGTTTTCCTGTTGGCTAGAAGGACAAAAATCTGAGTGAAGACCTACAGGCATGTTCTATTCATAGATGACAAAACAAAGGCAAAGGACAGAGTGTTCCATTTAGTTGCAAAATGAGCAAAGAACCATACACACTCTAGCTCTCAAACTCTTGCATTAACCACAAAAATCTGCCCATGTTCAAATTTTGTTAAGATAAAAAACATGTTCACACAAAACAGAAAAAGGCTCAAATAATGAAACTTAAAATCTATCTGAAGTGTTAATCTGCTGAATTATATTTTGTAGAAATACCTGGTGGCGTTTACATTCCATTAAATGTTTTCCAGATGTCAAACAGGAAGTTATCAGACCATCAACTGAGTACTAAGCATGATTACTACCCTTCCCCCTTCTTATGATGGTCCAGGAGACCTTTGGCTGTGTTTCCCATAATACCTTTGCTTAGTCCTGTTTACATAGTACATTGGTTAGGGACAAAACTGTGCCAAAGGGTAGGGTAATCTCAAAATTTCAAATAACCAATTTAATCAGTATTTATGTAAGTTTTGCATGGTATTTTTCTTTCTTTCTTTTTTTTTTTTTTTTTTTTTTTGCCTTGAGGAATGCTTTCAGTCAGAAATTCTGAGTACACCTGGAAGTTGGGATTTTCCAGGGTGGGGTCAACAAACTTTTCTGTAGAGGCTACGCAGGAAATATTTTAGGTTACGTGGGCTAGGTAGTCTTTGTTGCAACCACTCAACTGTATGTTGTGGCCCAAAGCAGTCACAGACAGCATGTAAACAAATGGGTGAACTGTGTTCCCACAAAACTTGGTTTAAAGCAGGTGGCAGGCAGGATTTGGCCCTGTCCTAGGGCACCAAAATGATCTGTTTTAACAGCAACAACCACATCTTATTTAAATAATTTTAGCAACAAACGTTAAAACACTGAGTGCCAAAACCATGTCAAACCCAATACTGAATGATTTTAAGTACATTTTTGAGTTTACCCACTGAGGCAGGTGCTAGAATACTTACAAAGGAACGGAGATTAAGTAACTATCCAAGGGCACAGTGCTAGTTCACAGTGGTGAAGCAGTGTTAGACCCTGATCTGACTCCAGGGCCAGTCTCCTTAACCATCACACTGTTACACTTGATATTCTCAAGGTAGAAAATGATTTGACTCAATCTGGGGAAATAACTAAGACCTCAAAGAGCAAGACTGAAGATAACATACCACTGCTGTTCCGCACTGATACAAACATGTTACATGAACCTACTTTTAGAAATTAAGATTTGAAAGAAATGGATAGGTCATATAAAGAGTAACCGAAGAGGTAGCAGGGACAGCATGACCTCTGAAAGGTATCAAGAAAGAGAAATAAAAACGAAAGAGCTGTAAAACCCAACATTTCCACCGTGTCCACTGGGAGGTTACCTGTCTCCATCGGAATGTTCTCAGCTTCTTTCTTCTCTTCAGTCTTATCTGCTGCTTGTTCTTCCTCAGGAACAATGCTGCTCTGACTGCGTTCGGCTTGCTCTGCTGCCTCCTTCTCCCTTTCCTCCTGCCTTTTGCGAGCCTGTTCCTCTGCCTGTGCAATTTCAGCTGCAATTTTTTCCATATCCACTTCGATTTTTAAACCACACAACTAGTAGTCAGAAAAAGACCAACACAAAAAAACCTTTTAGTAATGTTCTTTTCTTACAATCTCTCAAAGAGAAAAAAATTACTTCAAAAATGGGATTTATTGGCTATAAACTATATGTATATGGGAGAGAAAAAGCATGGCTCCAGGTCTTCCCCGAGAGTCTGTGTCTATAGGAAAAGAAAGTTGCAGAGCCATGTGCCATCAAAGATTACGAATAGTTGGCGAGGCAATGCTGAAAGTACTGGATTACATATCAAGTTTCCATTTTATATTTTAGGCTACCAAACACTAGATTTACCTGTTTTAATACAAAGTGCAAACTGTGAGCTACATCTAACGACAACATTTGACAAATTTCAATGAAATGAAAATAATTCACGCTTGCGTGAGAGTTTAAATTAGAACATCAGAGGATTCTAGACTCGATAGGCCTAGTATGCATACTAAATATTTCAAACCTATCACAATTTTGCCAAAAAAAAAAATGGGAATAATTTTATAAAGCAAAGATCTACTGGTTATAGTGAAATTACCCGTTTCAAAGTGAAAAATATTCAACAAAAGCACTATTTTGGAAAAAAGAATGAGAAATATAAATAACAGACACATGATATAGTTAACATATTAAGTTGTTACCCTCTTAAGTTCATTGTTGAATGAATCTGTGCTTTCCAGGAATTTCCTCTTCTTTTCCTGGTGTCGTTCCTCTATTTGAAGAAGTTCAGCTTCTAGTTTTCGCTGTAAGACATATGATCACGCTTTATAATTATTTTATAATTACTGCATTACTTTAAAGCAAATGTCAAATAGAAAACATGTCTCATTTTTTAATAGTCCACACTTATAACAAATGTCCTGAATTCTTAAAAAAAAAAATAAAAAAATACACACACACACACACACACACACACACACACACCCGTATTTTTCGGACCATAAGACGCTCTGGACCATAGGACGCACCAGTTTTTAGAGAAGGGAAACGAAGAAAAAAAAGATTCTGAAACAAATAGTGTCCTAAAATATTTTATGTGCATTAAAACCCAACATCACAGTCATAAACACATGTAATCAACCCTGTAAAGTAAACAGCAGCATTTAGAACCATTTTAGAGCCGGGCAAGCACACAGAGACTACACAGAGCCGGGCAAGTAAAAAAACTTTTTTTTTAAAGTATATGTGTAGGCTATATTTGGACCATAAGACGCAGGGACTTTCCCCCCCCACTTCTGGGGGAAAAAAAGTGTGTCTTATGGTCTGAAAAATACGGGGTGTGTGTGTGTGTGTGTGTGTGTGTGTGTATATATATATATATATATATATATATATATATATATATATTACTGATTTCAGAGAGAAAAAGACAGGGAGGTAAGAGATAGAAGCATCAATGATGTGAATCACTGATTGGCTGCCTCCTGCACACCTCCTCTGGGGGTTGTGCCTGCAACCTGGGCATGTGCCTTGGCCAGAATCGTACTTGGGATCCTTCAGTCCACAGGTCGACGCTCTATCCATTGAGCCAAACTAGCTAGGGCCTGAATTCTTAATTTAAGTCACTTATTACACACTATGTCTAGCTAAGGTTTTAAAATAAAAGTAAAATGTAGCATAGAGAAATCACTCTGACTAATAAGTATGTGATGTTAAATACTGTTTCAGGCCTGAGCAATTTTAGAATATTGAGTAAGGCAGTAAAAGGTTGGTAGGATGTCTCAAAATTCTAAATGGACAAATTTTCCATTACAAGACTCTATGTTACAGTTTTAAGGATAAACATATGAAATCGGTGGGAGAGGTCCACTCCCTCAAGTCTCTTTCCTGAGTCAGGAACAGGTTAGATTGAACAGACATACTTGACAGGCGCACTGATGCATTATATAGAAGCAGGCCACCTGGGATCTGTGGCTAAGCCCGTTTTATTATAACAAATGTTTTGTGACTCTACCTGATGAACCATTAAGGACTGGACCTGTCGTTTGAGGACCTGCATTCTAGCTGTTGTGACAACCGACCGAACGTCTGGCACCACACTTTCACTGAGGATCTCACTGATGAGGCGGTGGTTTCTCTGGAAACGGGCGGTGGCTGTATGCTTCATTGAAAAGCCATCATCATAATCTGGAATAAAGGAGATGTTCTGGAAATTAGGTCACCAGTACCCATAAACAGGAGTGGAACAATGTACACACTTAATCCCCAAGGAGCATGGCTCTCACAAGTGGGTCTAAAGGACACCATGGGAACACTGGGGCAGCCATTTGATAAAAACCACACAGGACACGCTGTGTTCATTGGCAAAGGTATTGGTTTTTCTCACAGAATCTTTAGGAGATGATCTGTGTCGGAGACAGATTTGGCTGAAACACAAGTGAGATATAAGCACGTGTCTTTAGCCTGGAAATCAACGTGAAGGCTGCATGCGATAGCAAAACTAGAATTCTGCCAATGTCTCTCTCTCAGTAGTACCTGTCCTTTCTTTGGAGCAGCTTTAAGATCCTATCTTTTTTTTTAAAATATATTTTATTGATTTTGTACAGAGAGGAAGGGAGAGAGACAGAGAGTCAGAAACATCGATGAGAGAGAGCCATCAATCAGCTGCCTCCTGCACACCCCCCACTGGGGATATGCCCGCAACCAAGGCACATGCCCTTGACCGGAATCGAACCCGGGGCCCCTCAGTCCCCAAGCCGACGCTCTATCCACTGAGCCAAACCGGTCTCGGCTAAGATCCTATCTTAAACTTAAAAAACACAATGGGCAGAAGTTTGAGAAACAGAGAAAAGGAACCCTTTTTAAAGACTGTTCCTGAGTGATCCCTTCAACCTGTCTCAATATTCATGCTGTTACCTTTCACCTAGTGAAAACTATTTTCTATCTATGGCTTTTACATTGCTAGCCTTTCTTTCCTCTTCTACTGAGCCCCACCCTTCCAATTATTTGTAGACTGGATGTCCTCATACCTTTTTTAGTTTTGCATGCTTTTTTTTTTTTCATTAACCATTCACTCTGAGCAGTTAAGGTCCATGTATGCTAGTGTGTCTTTAGCACTCCTGATCTGATTCTGTTTAATACTTGATAGTTTCTATTCCATATGCTATTCGTTATACTAATATCCCTATTCTATATTTATGAGAGTATCTGCCAATATCCCAATCTATTCTTTTAAAATAGCATTTTTGTTTTTCTTTTAAGTATGTCAGTTTATTTGTCTTTAGGTGGTATTACTGTGTCCTCTCTCAATGGTGTATCTTCTTTAAAGTTCTTATAAGCATTGCTACCACTACTTTAAAATGGGGTCTTAAATTATCCTGATGTTTCCTGTTGCTTGTAGTTAGAACTTCCAACCTTTTCCATATCACGGCAGCACACAGAGATGTACAAGATGCCTGCTACGTGGACAAACATGCCCACAGCTAGAGGTGGCTAGCTCTGGGGCTCCTTGTTGCTACAGATTCTGCCTGGCTGCACATGGCCAGGGCGCAATCTGTAGACCTGCAAACTATTTATGAAATGGCAACGAGGAAGCTGATGTGTGTGTATTAAATTTGTGTACCCTTATGTGTGCTATCATGAGATACATTTATAAATTCTAGTTGGATTTCTCACTTAACTGGGAAAGAAATTTCTTAGTACTCCCCCCACCCCCCCCCTGTAACTTTCTCTCTCAGGAGTCCTTCATTCAGGGCTTAGGGAACCAATAAGAAAACGGGGTGACTAGGAGGCATTTATCTTTTTAAAGCAGTTGAGGCAAACTTCTGATTATGGCTCAAAAACCTTTCAGGCATTTTGAGTACAAAGATTTGGGTAACAGTTTTTGCTACTTTCTGCACTAAAAAGAATATTTCCTTTTCTTGTGGGAAATTCACATACAAATCTTACAAAAAATAGTTAATCAAAATAAGGAAATGGTACTTAAATTAGGCTTTGTTTTCCATTTAGGATAGGAAGTAAAAACTTAAGGGATCTGTCTTATTTTAATTCTCAGAGAAAGCATAACAAAGCCCCGCTCTGTCTTTGTCATTTACCGTCCGGATCTTCAGCTGGCTGGATGCTCATGTAAGGTTCTCCTTTCTCCATGCGAGACTGCCTCTGTCGACTCTCTTCCTCTAAAGCGGCTTCGGCACGACTTTTTGCATTTATGTAAGCAAGGTATGCGGGGGAATTGTGGTAGGCCTTCATAGATTCATTGTACTCTATCTGAAATGCAAACATTTTGCAGTTTTATCATGAACATTTATCAGGTTATAATGATACCTATATTATCTCGCAGGAATATCCAAAGACACCATTATTATCTCCTTTTTACAGACATGAAATCTGAAGCTTAGAGAAATTAGGTGACTTGATCAAGGCAGACCAAGACGCAGTGCAGCCTCAGCTGTCCTCGATCTTATGCTTCTTTTCTAAATCATAAGCAAATGTTCATGTCTTTCCCAGGGGGTCCATCCCACTGCAGCCCCCACGCTACCTTTTCTGCTTCGTATTCGTTTAAATATTCTTGTTTTTCTTCATCGGTGAGATCTCGCCACATGCCACCAATGATCTTGCCAATCTCCCACAACTTCAGGTCAGGGTTGGAAGCCTTCACTTGGTCCCAGACCTTAAAAAGGAAACAGATGAAATGTCAGTATTTGCCTAGAAATACAGAGCTTTAAAAATACTTTTTAATATGAACATTTAAAAACAGAGGAAAGAGAACAAGTCTCATTAGCCTGCTGTACAATGAACAGCTGGCCAATTCATTTCCTCTCCAGTCTGACAGACTGCTTTAAGGCAGAACTCAGACTTCAACAATCACTACAGATACCAAGAGAAGCTAACTCGGTAACAGAGTCTGTGTCTAAAAGTTGACAAAAATTCAGAAGTCGTTAATCTGCACAATACAATGCATCATCAAATACACATCTAATTACGACCAACAATAAAAATAAATTCTAAATAGTGATGGAAATAGCTAAATGCTCTTATCTTTAATAAAGGTATCACTGGCTGTACCTATTAAGAGTAATGTAGCTACATCACAAACAAAAAAAGAGGAAAAATTCAAGGTAGTGTAAAGAAAATAAAAATGATCATAGCTTACTACTTAGAGATAACTATATCTTTTGGCTTTTTCTTCCTTCAAACTAGCATGTAGTTGCTATTATTTTTATAAAAATAAGATACTTATACACACAGTAGTCTTATATCCCTTTTTTCATTCAAGATTTTTCTAATGTCATTAAATATTCCCCAAAAGACTACATAACGCTGGCTATTAAACAATGTCTTAAGGATTTTAACAGTGTATTCAATCATGTTCTTCTTGTTGAATTTTAGCCCTGGAATTTTAAAATCAGAAGTCATTTCTTTAACAACTGCAATTCTTTATCCTTTCCTGTGACTGTGCGCAGGAAAGCTGGCTGAGCCCATCCGAAATCTAATGAGAAGCAAAGACAACAGTGCCCAGCACCTACCTTCCTGCTGTACCTCATGTAGGGCATCAGCGGCTTATCTGGAGGCTTTGGGGGTTTTGGAATCGTAATGCCAGAGGATGCCTACAAAAGAGTTAAAAGCATTCATTATTCAATTGCAAGAAGCTCCCCAGTAAAATGAAAAGAGAGTGCCTTAAAAATTCTAATGCGCCTTTCTTCTACTCGTCCACGGATACAAGAGTCTTATATTTTCTCCACTGAAAATAGCTATCACTGCAAATTCAGAAATGTTCACATCAAAAGAAAATGACTTTACGCACATAATTTAAAAAATATTTTACATAGTTTATTGCCACTGCTTTGACAACCTGGCTGCAAAATAAATAAATTATTACAGAACAATCCATACATCAAAAATATATGGTCACGTAGCAAATGTCCCACATTCAGGACATTACCTGGCACCCTTTTATTTTGCTTAATTTGCCATTACACATACAGTCAACACTTGATTATCTGCACCAGAATCCGAATGCCTTCAGCACTTAGCCACACTCACACTGTCTACAGGGCACTTTATTATTTCAGAATGCACCCCTACATAAACAACAACTATTGTCTAAGTTCAAAAACAGGCAACAAAAACCCCATCTCCTTTATCACTACTAGACATTTTAAGGTTCTATATTTAGTGGTTTTCTATAAAGAGGATCAAGAAGTGTGAAACAAAGTCATGCCTTTTTTAATCCTTAGTGGAGGGGCAAACAAGCTTTACAGAGAAATGGCAGACATGGCCATTAAAGTATATCAAGAATCTCCATTTGATTAAAAAAAGAAAGAGAAAGAAGAAAGATCGGTTCTTTCTATGGGCTGATATCTATGCAAGAGATACCAGGTAACTTCTAGTGGGCACCCCACATAACTCCAATCCAAGGGTGCCATTTCTGAACTTAGTCTCTTCTTAATATATGTGTATGACTCTATTTGCTCAAGGACTCAGAATAAAACCATGGCTGAATGACTTTTATTTCCCCCCAATTTCTAGAAGACCCCCACTATTGATTCTTGCCAGGCAGGGGGTAAGAAGTGCTGACTTATTCTAATTACCAAGAGAGAGATTGGCATATCTTTGTAAGAAAACTAGTGACAGTCGGTTCCCTTGCTTTTCCATTGCTGGTGTGACAAAACCATAGGGAAAACTCTGTTCTGGGCTAGGGCCTCAATCACAACCTTATTTTTCATCCATGGGCTCAGAGATTAGCATGTTTGCACCCTGCTCCACTGCTTTCAGATGATGCTTCCTTTCACTATGAGGGTCTCCTTCACCCCTCTATGCTTTTCAGTAACTTTCTTCATACACAAAATGATTAGTAAGCATCTCACCTTTGAAACAGTATTTCTTCTCACTCTTCATATACATTCTTGCCACATCTAATGCTGGCGCCCAGGCACAGACCTTGCTTTTAGCAGCAGTGGGCAATGGAAGGAGGTGAGCCATTGGGGATGGAAACTGTCAACAGCGGTGGTATGAAGAGTAAGGGAAGACCTGTCTCAGGGTCTGTAGGAGTTCTTCCAAGAGGGAAGGAAGGAGGGAGGAATTCCTACAAAGCTAACCTTACTAGTATGTCATAAAATCAGAGCAAGACATATAGAAGTCTGAGTATTCATACATGAAGTTACTAGAAAGCATTACCAACTCAGTTAACACAAATCTTCAGAATTTCATGAAGTTACAAATAAAGTTGAAATTGTGCCAATAATTGAATTTGGTAGGTCACTGTTAACAATTTTTTTTAAAAAAGAGGTAAAAAATTCTAAAATGTCTATGCTTAAATATGTTGAATTAAAACACTTAAAGGATAAGTTATAGTAATATTTGCTCTTGGATGTTTTTCCAAGAACTGCATTTATGACATTAATGGGTTTGCCTATTTATCTTCCTTTCTCCCAAAGAAAGGTACCTGAATAACTCACACACAGAGTCCCTATTTTATTACATTGACCAATTTACATATGCAAACAAAATAAAAAACATTAACCAAGTTAAATAGTAGTTGATTTTGAGGCTACAGAAGATTTGTATCATTAAACACCTGTCATTTACCATCTCAGACGGACATCATTCTAGAATGTCTCAATGCCCAGTAGTTAGGCTTTTTTTTTAAGCTTTTTTTTCTTTCCTGTTACCATGAAATCCATTTCTAGCAGCAACTCTCCCTCTTTCCAGTTTTCTGCTTCTAACTGGCAATGCTTGGGGGAAAACAAATAGCTAAGCTTGTTAAAATGTGCTTACGTAAGAGTATGGTCCTGGGATAGCCTACAAAATAGTCCATTATTTCGTGAAATTTATTTGGCTACTCAAGAGTTTGTTGTTGTTTCTTCCCAATTCTCTGGTAGGATCTTATTAAGGGTTTTCTCCTGGGATAGAATTTCTACTGAAGTACAGAAATAAGTTGTTTCTTAACATTTTATCTCAACCTATTTTCCACACTGTACTTAAGAGAAATTAATCATCATCCGAATGAAGACCTGACTAGGAGTGATTTCCATCGCAGAGCTATCACACAAGCACTCCCAAAGGTTTCAACATGCTATACAGTTATTGTCTGAAAACTATTCAAGTATACAGGAGCCTACAGGGATGCACAGAATCATTCCTTCAAATCACAGACAGACAACCCCGAAATCCAGCCAAAGTAATACATAGTTGGGTCAACTTAAACAAAACACTTTAATAATGGTCAAAACCAGATTTACTGAGTCCTAACATGGCTTAAGTTAGATATATAAAAAAGGTGGTGAAAAACTTTAGACTTAACTAATATTCTTGAGGATGATTCAATGACCTAAGATAGAGGTCACTAAAAGTTGAAGGGGCTGGAATGAACACAGGCTAAAAACCTTCATATTTTCTAGGCCGTTCAGGTTAAGTCTAAACAACAGCTTAATTATAATTTAATTTGATATTGAGAGAATACTACAAAGAAAACAACTACAAAGGTTCCAAACACCAAATTTTCTACCCCCAACAACCTTTTTGTCCAAATCTACCCTGAAGCTAATGCCCACTCCAAATGTTGTGGTCCCAACACACCTAAGAAGGAATGGGGAGAAACAGAGAATTTAGCCAGCTTCCAAAACAGAGAGCACACTTGCCTTTCCCTAGCTAAGTCTCCATTAAATGATCTCATTTTATTAAGAGAATTCTCACAGATAGGTCCAAGTTAACAACAAAATGCTTACGCAGACCAAAATACAAATGAATCTAGTATTATAGTTAACGCTATTTCTATTCCATTAACATAGATAATCAAGAGCTGACTGTATAGAGCAATTAAAATGCAATCATTCTTGTTTACTTGCTCATGAGCAATTTTCTGCATTAACAGAATGGTCCAAAATTGATTCCGTTTCTTGTTTAAATTAAAAGGCTCTTTATCATTTGATAACCTTGCCACCCATTACATTTATGAAACAACACATTTAGGCCAAGAAAAAACATGTATCAATGCAAATAAAAATTGTATGCATTGTGAAATGCATACACGCACACACACACTCTGTCAGAATTCTTTTCAGATACCATGAAATATGCATGGCACATAAAACTTGATATGCTTATGAAGTACAAATTATGCAGAAACAATGAAAATTTTAGACAAACAAAACCTATCAAGCTGAGCAATATGCTTACCAAGATAGTCTGATAGTAACAAGCTTTTTGCTCTAGCTTGACTACAGGATGAGAGGGTTTTTTTGAATTCACATAATCGAATTATTTATGAATACAGCAAATGAAAATCAGGTAGAGAAGTTTACAGCCATTCTGAGTGGTATGAATTCTCACCAAATACCGTAATCCAGTATATGCAGATATTTGACTTTTGGATTCAATTTATTTACTTATTTTTGATAAATCCTTTTTACAGCTATTTTTTTCCTTTGGTACCTAAATTTCCTTGAATAGAGTTTAAGATGATTCTAAAACAAAAAGTACATCACCCAATGTTGATTATTTTAAATTTATAATTTACTTGTATATTTATTTTTGTCTTAGACTGATCAGTTTCAGAAATCATATCCCTTATCCTAAGGATTATAAGCACACTTCTAGTTGTCGTTATCTAGTCTAGTACTTCAAATTAATTCCTTTCAACTTTTATTCTGAAATTCTTTGATGTTGACACAAAAGTCTTTTTCTCTTTTTAACTGAAGACAAATGAATCTCAGAAGGTCAACTATTAAATCCAAAAGACAAATAATTATGTGTAGCAATTCAAACTAGTAGGCCAGCCAAAAAAAGCCAGGTCTGTAAGCCCAGCATTTGCTAAGAAACCTGAGTTCTTGAACCTAATGCTAGTTACCTTAAATGAAAGATAACGCTTCAGCTCAATTAGAGTATTTTAACCATAAAAACTTCTAGGTTTGTCTACATATAGTACAAACATTAAGTGCCCAAGATTTTATCTCTACCAACCACCAAAAAGAATGAAGTTTTTTCTTATACATATCCAGATCTCACTATATATATATTTTTTTCAGTGTAAGATCATACAACAAATGTTCAAAATAGTCGAAAAGCCAGGTTTAAAAAAAAATGTAATGGCTGTGCTGATGATTCGCAAGGACCTATCTCTGAAGGCATTTCTGGTCAATTCCAGTTGGTTGCCGGTTGCTGTAATAGTTGATTCTCCTACCGTGACCCGGCTGTTGGTGCCCGGGTTCCCTCCCAGCCTGTAGTTGTTGTAGGCGAGATGACTGTATGGATTGTATCCCACAAACCCTGGTGTGCTGGGCATTTGCTGATGGAAACAAATGAGACAAAAACACGAATGAGAAATGAGCTCAAACGAGGAAAACACAGAAATGAAAAATGATCTGCATATGACATGCAAAAGCAACCTGAATTTAAACAAGCAATGATGTGTTGTAGTTGTTTTTTCTTTCATTGAGAAACCAGTATGCAAGTGTGTGTGTGTGTTGTGTGTGTGTGTTTTCCTCTCTCTCTTTGCAGGGGTCAGTGGTGTTTGTGTGAATTTGAATGTGTGCTTGAATTTTTGGGATAAGCAATACAGTGAAGTGTCTCAAACATTCAGGATTACTTTATGGTCAATAGTATGATATAACAACTTAGCAATATATGTCTGAGAGGAAAGCTTGAAATGTGGTCAACTACAAGTGTGAGAACACTTTACATGCAAAACAAAACATGATTTATTTGACAGTTATGTGGATGCCGCCAATGTATTTGTCTACTAAAAACAAAAACAAGAAATGGACTGCTTTCCAAGACAGCTTTAAATAATTTTATATATGTGAGAAATGAGAACGGACTCAAATCAGGAAGTCAGACGTTGTCAATAGAAAAGAACATATGTGAGATTCAATGGATGTCACATACATGATTTCAAAACAAAGACTTGTAAGAAATGCATGGATTTCTTTCTGGGGGTACTGTCTGTCTGATCTTTTTAACCCAGCCATTCTTTCATAGGCTTTCTTTTCCATCTCTTCTTTGATCCATCTTCCGTAAGTCAGTCATGAATAATTTCTGCATTTAGTTAATGTGAACTATTTTTCTAGTTGACAGACTTGAAACTCTCTCTTTTTAAAAATAAATCTAGTTTCCTGATAGCTTTAGTCCTTTTATATGTTATGTGATTACAAATGGGCTCTTATATAGCAGTCCCCTTGTGGTTAATATAATGACATCCAATGTTAATGAGAATAAAGATATAATACATAAAAAGAATATAGCAAAGAGACTAAAAGTAGGGTATTTTTCCCTGATGAAATTCAATAAAAACAAGTGACAGTAATTTCATTTTAACATGCAATCAACAGTCTTGAATTGTATGATGTAAAATACACTTTACACATTCCAATTAAACTGTAACTGTTATAAAATAAACACAATTTTTTAAAACATGCCGCTGCACATATCCTTAGTCTCTGAAAGATATTCAAACATTTGATCTTCTTTAGAAGCGAACTGATCAATTTGTAATCTATGTAGTTATAGAGACGCAAATTAAGCTTATTAAAGTAGGCAAAACAGATGAAATATCAAAGGCACAAAAGAAGTGTATATTACTTAGAGTGGTACATCTAGGTGGTGGAGGTGGTAGAGGAGGTGATGATGATTGTGATGGTGGTGGTTAAAATAATGGGAGGGGGGGGGGAAAAGGAAGGAGGATAACTCATTTAATTTCCACTCTGTTGGATGTCCTAATCCCTAGTCTTCTGTATTTATATGTCAATGTGAAGCTATAATGGTATATAAATATGACTAAAGAAAGGCAAAAATTAAAAAAAAAATCCCTTTCTATATTTGAGAAGGCATAAGTGAACACTTGGTTTTGGACTATTTTTATTATCTCAAAAAATCAAGTATGTGTTCCAGGCACTATACACTGTCTGAGGCAGTATTTATATAAAAATGACAGCTTCAAAAGTTGCATAAAAAATGAGACACTTCAAAATTGAGGCAGTAATTTAAGAAAATTAAGCAGGGGAGCTTAAAAAAAAATTGAACCTAAAACATGACAATTATACCATTTCCAAAATGAATTACATGGTTAGTTGTTTGAGGTCAGGAATGTCAATTGTTCAGCTCCACCTGGATAGCCACTAGCAGAGTGCCAAGGAGATGGTCGAAAGATATGTTCTTTAATTTAAGAAAGCAAACACAGGACTTTAAGATTTACTGGAAGTAACTTGAGACGATATGTTACTATAAATTGAACTGATTACATGTGATATAGCATCTCTTTTTAAAAACATCTTACTGAAGAAAACCAAATTGCTAATAAATGTAACTAAAACACTTATCTAAGGGATTAGTAATTAAGAATGGTTATCTAGTGGAGAAAACAAAGTTATACAAAGAGGACCTAATTAGTAAACTAGCTTGAAATTTAGGTGGTAGGGGGTTTGGAAGAAGGGCTAACAGCTGTTAAAGAATTGCTTTTGTAGGGTATGGCCAAGGTTAATAGTGTTTTGTTTTGCTTTTTTTAAAATAACAAACAACAAGGAATCTATTTCAGCAAGGTCTGAAGAGTTACTGTTAACTCTGTTGTATGGATTGGACAATTATTTGACATGCTGACCAAGCTGGATCAGAACTTGCTGGGTGAAAAAACCAGTTCACAACTATTATTTGGATACTTTGAAACACATCAAATTCCAAACCAATGATATATGGAACGGAATAAAATTCAACAGCAGGATCTGACCCACAGGTAATAAAATCCTTACTTGAACAGCTTGAAAATAAAGATTTACAATGAATGTTTTTTAGAGAACTGGAAACTTTATTGTTTGACTTAATATGAAAATTATATATAGACAAGGAGAGAAAACAATGTAACCAATTTAAGGTTAGGTTTGAAAGTAACAATGCCAGAATGAGCATTCATTCACTCAGTATCAACTTTAAAGACTTTTAATAAGAGATTAACAAGAAAGAAGTGTTAAATTTGTCAGTTATTTCCCATTTAAAAAAAAAAAAGGAAAAAAAGCATAGGAGGTTGGCTTTTCAGCAGTATGTCTCTTTAAATGTTGGGGCTGGTTCAAAGTAAGGTGCAAAGAGGTATTTTATTTAGTAGAAAGTGCTGGGTTTTTTTAGCTGAATTTTTCATCCTATTGCTGTGATGATTGAGTGACCCTTCCTGGCAGACATCTGGGTTTTTGTATCAAGGCCAGACTTGGCTATTACATTAACAAGAAAATTAAAACTTACTGTTGCAGGAGCTGGGGTGGGAGGTGGGGCATAAGATGGTCTTTCTGTTTGAAAGAAAATAAATAACTTCTTGTAAACAACTGAGATATAATACTATGCAACAAAACTACCAATGGTCCTGTTTGAAGAAAAAAAAAAATGAGAGTATTTTGGAATTCCCATTTGCAAGGGCATTAGTCTCTTATTTATATAGATTGAGAAATATAAAAAAAATGAAACTTACTTGACATTTTGGAAGATTAAGTTCTCAGTTCCTTAAGAATGAATCTGAGACACTAAAATAAAAAAAGAAAAAAAAAGAAAAAAAAAGAGAATCAAAACTCAGCAAGCATGAGAGAATGTTTTCCTAACTAGGGTAGTTGTAATTGGTATTTCTTAGTAAAATTACATTATCTCCTAGGAACCAAGCCTGTTGCATATTTAACGAGTTCTTTAGGTCACTGTGTTGATCAGAATCAAGATGACCAAAACAAAAGTCTTTCTTCTGCTACTGAGCCACCCCTTGCATGGGAAACATTTTGCTGATGCCATGTACACATTTAATCAGACCGATTAAAACATAATGACGATAGAATGTGATACATGATCAGGGCCCACACTAAGGGAGGCCTACAGATACTGACAGCTCCCAAACCAGCAGCTTCCTTTCCTGTTAGCCCAACAACTTCTCTTACGATGGAGCAGCATTTTATTCCTGGAGGCAGTACCAAAGGTAACTAACTGGCAGGCTAATGAACTTTATATTCCCTCTTAGTGGTAAACAGCTTTATAACTGTTGGGAATAAATTTTGAAAGAATCCATCAGGATAAAAAACACACACAAAAACCGCCCCCCAAACTCACAGCCTGTTGCAAAATTATCTCCTTAGTGGAGCTTTCTTGATAAACGACCTGGGCAGATTTGCTTCTTTATCTACCCACTTTAAATATATCTAGGATACTGTATATTGTATCGTTTACCGGTTCATGTGGCTAGATTGTGCGCAGCTTGGAACCAGGGACCATCTAATTCATTATTACAGTCCCAGTACCTCGCTCAACGCTGAATAAATCCTGCCCTCGTATTACCAGCTCATGCCATGACCATGCACACGAGCTTGCTCCTGACATCAATAGACATCACACGGTGCAAACAAAGCGATGTTCATTGTCAGAAAAAAGGCAGGTAACTTCTATGACTCCTGGAGTACTTCCATCCAACGCTCTGTGCAACAAACATGTATCTATTTTGGCTCCTATTTTGCCTTTTAGGGGAATCCCCTGGAGCCCGAGGAATAAGACCCGGTGGGGAAGGAAACAATGTAGCTTATTTTCTCAATGACCTAAGCTGGGTCTCTCTTTCCTTGAGGAACAGGCGGAAACCACTGCCTCTGTGTCTATTTCCTTCCTGCTCACGTTCAGGAAGCTGTCAACCTTCTGTGGGGAGCCCTGACGAACACTGCCACGAGCTCCCCGGGTGTACAGCGTTCACGGTTCATTCTTTTAAATGATTGAGCTCCTCGGGTACACCATACACCCTAAGTGCGGGCTGCCCACCATGGATCCATCCCCACCGCCGGACCTAAAATACTAGGATGGGTATTTGCTGAATACCGTCTGGGGGACAGGCTAGTTACCCACATCCTTTCGTTTTATAGTCACCAACTACCAACAAGACAGGGACTGTTATTCCCATGTTACAGACGGGATTAGTGGGTTTTAATAAAGGAACATGCCCTAAACACACACACAGCCAAGGAAATGCCAGGGATGGGTTCCCGACCCAGGCCGATCTGCTTCAGAGCTCTCGCTCTTCACTCGGAGCCACACCGAGAGCCTCAGGTCGATGCCTGAACTCCAGGGAAACCACCTTCCTAGGGGTCGTGGGTGGGGAGAGGGAGCGATGCCCACGGGCCCGGCTCAACCCCAGGGCTTGCTCTGCGGCTGCTCCCTGCAGGCTTGTGGTGGAGGATGCACGCCACCAGCCACCCCACGAACGCGGGGGTACACATGGCTGCTGGGACCCGTTTCGCGGGGCCACTGGCAGGGGCGAGCCGACCCGCCAAGGAGGGAACCCGAACGGGACGGCTCCCTGCCCACCCTCGCTCCTCTAGGCCTCAGGGAGGGCGCTCCCAGCCCCAGGCTCTGCCCCGCGGCCAGGCCTGAATTCACCCCAGCAACCCCCGGGTTCCCGCAGTCCGGCCGCGCGGGGACCCCCGGCTGGCCCCCCACTCCCGGCCCGCAGGAGCCCGGGCGGAAACACTCACCCGCGGGCAGAAGAGGCGCCCGCAGCTCCGGCCTCGCTTCCCTTTGTCCCGCGCAGGCCCCGCCCCCCGCGCGCGGAGCGAGCGTCCGCATCCGCACTTTCCACACACGCGTCCTAATTCCTCCCCGGGCGCCGCCGGCCGTCTTTGGGGAAAGAAACCTCCTCAGGAGGACGCCTGAGGCTTCCTGCGGTCACGGATTTTTTTTTCAGGTCCTCTTTGTCCCGCCGGACCCCCCGAGTGTGGTGCCTTTCCGGGCGGGCGCAGATTCGTCACGGCGGGAGGCGGAGGGGGACGCCCGCCCGGGAGGCCTGCGTGCGGCGGCGTGAAGGGGCGGGGCGGCGGCGTGAAGGGGCGGGGCGGCGGGACGTGCGAGGCGGTGCGGAGGGCGGGCGGCGGGAGCCGCGGCCTCGGCTCCACGCGCTGGGCCGGAAGACGGCGGGGGTCGCTGAGGCAGGCGGAGGCCCCTGAGGCCCCGGAACCACTGAGGCCGCGCGGGCCCGGCTCGAGTCACTGCACCTCCGCCAGCCCCCTCCCCCCCAGGTCATTTTCTAAGCGAGCGGAGCTGAGGGAAGCGCGGTGTCCGCCCCCACGGCGCCCCTCGGGCTTCCTGCCTTAACGACACGGGCTTTTCCCGTTTTCCCAAGGTCGAATTTGGTGCGATTGCCGCCGGTTTCCGAGCCGCGGCCCAGCGGTGTGTGAATCCCCTGGGTTGGGTGCCCGCTGGTCTCTGGTCTCTGCCCAACGAGGTCTTGGCTCATTGGGTTCCCATCGACGGCAATGCCGACCCCACGCTTCCAGGTTAAACTCATCTGTCCTTCTGGATCCAGCTCACACGTCTCTTTCTGATGCCCTCCCGCCCCACGGGCAATAATCCTTACTCTCAACTCCTTGGTTCTTTGACATCTTTGTTGTAGTCTGTACCTGATCCAAGGTGTTGGTCATCGTTAATGCATGGTGAGGAAGGTCCAGGCATCTGCATGGGTCATCTTCACGTTGCCAGTGTCTATTAAGTCTTGATGCATTGTTGGATGCTCAATGCATGTGTGTGGAGGTGAGGCCCAAAGTTAGCTTAGGGTGGGAGGGTCTAAGTGTGTGAGGGAAACTGGACAAGGCTTGTAGTGATTTGCACATAAACATTCTTTCAAAATGTTTATTTGTAATACTAGAGGCCTCTAAAAAGTACACACACACACACACACACACACACACACACACACTGAGTGGCCAGATTATTACACGTTCAGAGATCATAATCTGGTCACTCAGTGTATTCAATTTCCCCCCCCCCCCCCCCCCCCCCCCCCCCCGTGTGAAAATTGAGGCTAAGAAATGTTAGTAATTCCTTCCTGGTTACATGATAATTAGTGACAGTGCCAGGCAGGGCAGGGACACTACAATTGTTAGTAATTGGAATTATTCTTCATTTTTGTATTTTGTTATAAAAGCGTACATTTTAATTATGCCCAAATAATGGGAGAATATTAATTTATCTACAAAATGTGAGTACCGTATTTTCCGGTGGATAAGACGACTTTTGAAACGAAAAAAAGTCAACCGAAAAATCGGGGGTTGTCTTATACACCGAGTATATTCCGAAAAACGTCTGGATATTCCGCTAAACGGATTTTCTTTTCTTTTTTTTTTTTAAAAAAAAATATATTTTGATTTTTCACAGAGAGGAAGAGAGAGGGATAGAGAGTTAGAAACATCGATGAGAGAGAATCATCGATCAGCTGCCTCTTGCACACCCCCTCCTGGGGATGCGCCTGCAACCAAGGTACATGCCCTTGACCAGAATCGAACCCGGGACCTTTCTGTCCGCAGGCCAACGCTCTATCCACTAAGCAAAACAGGTCCCGGCGCGCTAAACGAATTTTCCAACTCGATCCCGCACCAATCACTGCAAGGCTGCTGGGACCGCCTCTCTAACTCAGCCAATCCAAGCAGGCTTTTTATGAATGCAAATTATACATGTTCTGTACCCGAAGCTACACTGTGTTCTAGTAAAAATTGAATATAGGCCTAAACCTATGTTTTAACTGTAAAATTAGGGGGTCGTCTTATACGCCGGAAAATACAGTAACATTATACATCTTGTAGGATCGTTGTAAGGATTAGTGATTATGTACAAGCTCGCTGAATGCAGTATGAGGAGCAGTGAGCATTTTGTAAATTCTGGCTGTTATAGGATTATAGGATTATTTTGATTTTTTAACTAGAATATACTATTCATATTTTTTTTTTTTTGTTAAGAAACTACAGCCTGGCCGAGACCCATTTGGCTCAGTGGATAGAGCGTCGGCCTGTGGACTGAAAGGTCCCGGGTTCGATTCCGGTCAAGGGCATGTACCTTGGTTGCGGGCGCATCCCCAGTAGGGGGTGTGCAAGAGGCGGCTGATCGATGAGTCTCTCTCATCGATGTTTCTAACTCTCTATCCCTCTCTCTTCCTCTCTGTGAAAAATCAATAAAATATATTTAAAAAATAAATAAAATAAATAAATGAGCGCCATATTTAAAAAGAAAAAACAAAAAAACAAACAAAAAACCCCCAACTACAGCCTGGTTGGCATGGCTCAGTGGTTGAGCATCAACCTATGAACCAGGAGGTCAGGGTATATTCCCGGGTTGCAGGCTCGATCCCCAGTGTGGGGCATGTAGGGGGTAGCCGATCAATGATTCTCATCATTGATGTTGCCATCTCTCACTCTCTCCCTTTTTGGAGTAAATAACATATATATATATATATATATATATATATATATATATATATATATACACACACTATAAAAGAAATTCTCTCTCTGCCATGGTTACTGTTTTGTCATTTAAAACAAATTCAACACAATGTCTCAAACTCAAACACAATGCAGGTTTAGAGTTCATGTTTCAGTTTTATAATTTTTATTAGAGTGGTATCATTTACTTTGGTAAATTCATATCCCAATTTAAAATGCCCCAAAGCAAATAAAACTGTTATAAATTCAAACACTGTATTTTAAAATATACGCAACACACAATAGCTGCATAGTGGAATTACTATTATAAGCAGTTACATTTATGATGCCCACTATTAAGTTTTTACACTGCATATCACTTACTCTAGATATATTGTATTATGATTACTGTTGCTTAGTACAGTAACTTTAGTACAATAGCTTACATGACTGCATTTTCAAAGCTTTAATGAAGTTAGTAGCTTTTAACTGATATTAAATTAAACCCTTTTACATATAGGATGTATTTTAGGTTAGATGCTTATGCAAGAATAAGCACTTAACATGCTATTTTATCTTTGACAACAAAATTATTCCTTTCACAAAATAGAATAAGCAACGCTTAAAGAAATCTGAAGTAACTGAAATAAAATTTTAGCTATATCCCTGTATTATGTTAAAGATTAATTTTCTTCTGGTTAAAATATACCTTTTTGTTGTTGTTGAAATAAAGGAGAGAAAGAGAGACTTATGCAGAGAGAGGGAGAGACAGAGGTTTCGGTTGAAAAGGCTGTACTAAAATGCTAACATAGCTATAGCCCTTGGATAATTCTTTAGTTGGGAAAAAAGTACAGTTATGGTGAGTGATACTCAACACATTTCCTGTTTAGAAAAAAATTAATAGCCTATAACTTTCTAATGTTTAAAACAGGTACTTTTTAAATTTAAGGTCTTAAAAGAAATATACCTGTATTAAACAAATTAGGTTGCTTAAAAAACTTTGCAACACTACTTACTCATAAATATATTTTTGATCCATATTTATTACACTTTGAACAATTTAAAAACATAAATCCTGCAAATACTCATAGCTTAGATAACAATACTGTTATCTTAATTCACACAAATGATTGCAGGAAATACTAATAAGACTTTATGTAATATTTTACCTAATACACCAAATACTCCCATTAATCACATTTAACTTTACAGATGGAACAACTGGGATGGGGAGAGGTTGGGATAATTGTTCGAGAAATTGTAGTAATCAGCTTTTCATATTTTGTGCAACTGGCCTCGTTTTTGTTGTTGATAGAGGACAAATTGAAAATTCTTCGAATAAAGTAACCCTTCTGGAAATCACATAATGACTACAAAACACTTTGAGATGAAGGTTAATTTTATTTAATCAAATTAGAACTGGGCTATGTTCTATGCTTTGCTCAGAACTGCTCATGGAAAGCAACTGTTACTTTTCTAAGTGGCAAATGATTGTCTCAAAAGGAACATTTTTGGTTAAGAGAATAGAGAGTTCTCTTTAAAAGTTGTATCATTGTTTTCTTTTTCAATTAGAAAAATCTTTGCTCAGAACTGCTCATGGAAAGCAACTGTTACTTTTCTAAGTGGCAAATGATTGTCTCAAAAGGAACATTTTTGGTTAAGAGAATAGAGAGTTCTCTTTAAAAGTTGTATCATTGTTTTCTTTTTCAATTAGAAAAATCTTTGTTGCTATAACCAGTCATAGAAGCATGATGAATTACTCAGAATGATTATTACCATAATACAATCCCATTTAAATAAACCACTCCCTTTTCCTTAGAGTATTCAGGCATTAAGTCAAAGATTTTACTAAGCCACTAGCGCTTACCATCTCTGATAAAATTTCAAGGGATCAAAAACGATTATTTGGAGGATAAATAAAATAGAAATCATACTGAATTTCTGATTTTATTTGTACTTTCTCTTTCCAAAAAATATATCCATAGTTAAATTCAGAGAAATTTTGCCCCTTACCATCCCCCACTCCACACATCAATCATAACATTCATACTTAAACTTCCATCTGGGACAGAAGGCGATCAGCACGGCCTACCTTGGTCCATCCTAATGTCATTTTCAAATCAAGTCAAATACTGTCTTTGGGTTAATGAGCTGCTGACGGAGGTTTGATAGAGGGAATACTGCATGATCTCCTCATGATAAGCCTGACTTCTATATCTGGTAGATTATCCTGTTTAGTCTGTAAACACCCTTCATCCGTGGCTGCTAAATGAAGATCAAAGCGAAGAGAAACAGATTTTTTCCTTAACCGAGGGTTATCTTTAAAGAAGGAACCTTCCCATTCTTTAATAACTTCATCCACTTTCTCTGTCCTGAAATGATAAAAATAAACCTTTCTATATGAAGATGTATAGGAAAAAATATGTAATATATATTCCATATGAAAAAGAAATCAAGAAGCTTGAATGATTTATAATTTACATTTTAAATTTTACAATGTACATCATGATATTGATAATTTATATATTTAAAAAAATCACAAAACTATAATTTCAAGGAATTTTATGGAATGCTCCTGGGTTGCTATATTTAAAAAAAAAATGGTGAATTAAGGATTGAGCATTCCTTTATCTGAATTTTTGTTTCTATATGCTTATTCATGTCAGATTAAGAATCACAGCAAATTAAAATTAGGTTTGGAAACATTCAAAGATTACTGAGATTATTCGATTGAAGTTAATTTCTTTACACGTTTATTTCATTTCTTAAGTCAGAGTTACTTTACTTACTGAATAGTACCATGAGCTTCAGTGCTCTCCTTCACGACATTTCCATTTAATATTGCCTGTTTGGTCACTCTTTCCACTTTTTCATTCTCACACTTTTGTGGGACTTTTGTTGAAAAGGAGATTTCATTTATAATGGCTGTGAAAATTTTATTTATGAAACATTAAATTACAATGTTGAAGTATCAATCACAGTCAACTCACATGTTAAAATTTATGTAACTATTGCTCATTTTTGCTATGTTAGCATTTTAAATTTATAATCCCTACAAAATGGCACTTTGCTTTTCAAGTTAATTTACTTTATATCAGAAACTCACCTGAAGGTAAAACAAAACCAACTCTACTTGTAGGTTTTTTCTCCTTTTTTCCTCCTTGGATACAACCATAATATCTGAAATTGGAAAGAAGTATATTATAAGAGCAACAAAGTATTAGCAGATAATGGAAACAAATGCTCACTGATATGAGAATGGATACATTGTAGAATATTCATCCAACTGAAATACTCTTTAGCTGTGAAAATAAATGAACTCAGGGTACAATGTATCCTTATGGATGAATCTCCCAAGTACAACATTGAGTGAAAAAAAGAGTATGTTTATAAAGGTTAAAATAGTATGCAAAACAATTTCATATTTTGTTTAGGGATACAGACATATTCTTATAATAAGCATCAAATTGGGGAGTCAGGTTAGATTGAGGGAGGAGGATGAGATTGGGGGGATGTGGTTTAGGTGTAGGGGATGAGGAGTGGAGCAGACTTCAACAACATTGTGTATGTCTCACTGAGCTGGGGGAAGATGAGATATAATGGAACTATGGGAGTTCATTACATCTTTCTTGATACTTTCTTATATATATTAAATATGGTATAATAAAATTACAGTACAGAAATATTAAAGACCAGGTTACCAATATTTTGAAGAATTAGGAATTAATTAAAATTCACAACCTTTTATTTTATGTAATAATAAATATATATATCCTATATAATAAAGAGGTAATATGCAAATTGATTGTCACACCCTCACACAAAGATGGCTGCCCCCGTGTGGTCACAAGATGGCCACCACAAGATGGCCAGCAGGGGAGGGCAGTTGGGGGCGATTGGGCTGGCAGGCAGAAGCGGTTAGGGGCAATCAGGCAGGCAGGCAGGCAGGTGAGCAGTTGGGAGCCAGCAGTCCCAGATTGTGAGAGGGATGTCCAACTGCTGGTAGTCGGACATCCCCCAAGGGGTCCCTGATTGGAGAGGGTGCAGACTGGGCTGAGGGAGAGCCCCTTCTTTACCCCCCTAGTACATGAATTTCATGCACCGGCCTCTAATATTTACATAATACTATTTTAAGCCCTTTACAAACGTTAATTTGTTTAATTTTCACAGCAATGCTATGAAGTAGGTAATATTGTTCCCATTTTAGAGATGAGAAAACTGATGCACAGAGAGGTTTAGTAACCTGCCTGGCTTCACTCTGCTAGTAAGTGGTATATTTTGAATTTAACTTACGTTTTTCAAAGATTTAGTGTCAAGACATTATAGGTTAAAGCAGTTTCATCTAGTTTTACAGAAGTCTCAGAATTCTGAAGCAAGCAAGAATAAAGGTTTTTTTTTAAAGAAGAAGTGGTATTTATATACAGTGAAATATTACTCATCCATAAAAATAAAATGAAATCTTGCCACCTGACAAAATGGCAAAAAAGACAAATGCCATATGATTTCTTATATGTGGAATCTAACAAGCAAAACAAATGAACAAGCAGACCAGAAACACATCATGGATTCAGAGAACATTTTGATGGATGCCCATGTGAGAGGGCTGGAGGTACGGGATGAGGAAGTACAAAGTGGTAGTTATAGCATAGTCACGGGATGTACAGTACAGTATAGGAAATATAGTCAATAATATTGTAATTACTGTACATGATGTCAGATTTATTAGGTGATTTTTAAACGTGATATACATGTTAATCACTGGGTTGTATGTCTGAAACGAATATATTGTATGTTGACGGTACTTGGAAATTAAAAACAAACATATTTAATCAGTTAACTGCCACGTATCCAAAACGGAAACCATCCCCACACGACACTAATGCTTATGGCGTACAAAGGGTTAAAAAAAAAAAGGAAAGAATAGTTGTGTTTTGATGGGAACATGCAAAATTGGAGGTTGTGCTGTGCTCAAAGCCATATGACCTTATAAGTGATTGCAGATTACGAAGTTGTGTGAATCAATAAGAATTCCTTTTGGGTACCTTTGTTATCAGGACACCTGGGAGTCTTCTAAATCATATACTCCAAACACCATTGCTTTCCACGGTTGTAATATGTTGGTGTTTGATGTGTGGTGGAGTGGGCCTTTGTGTGTGTGGGGGGAGGTGATAGTAAGAGTTTTCCAAACTTTCTTTGTGGGCGGACCGTATAAGGCAATGACTAATTTCTTAAAGGTTTGCGTGGCAAGGAAAGTGAGAGAGTTTAGAAAGGTCATTTTTGTGTTGCTTGGCAATTCTTTGCATTTTGTTCTGGTCTTCCTGTGCTCCTGTTGTAGCTCAGGTCCCTGACTTTGGTTATTTTGCCTGTGATTTGTGGAGGCTGGGAATACTCATATTCTTTGCAGTGTGTGCTACTCCTATTGAATTGTAGAAACTCAGGGGTACTGCCAGGGAGATGATTTCTTTAGATTTAATTTCTCTGATTACGTCATCAGTGACGTACGTGGCTCTGCATTCCCGACCACATGTCACGAATCGTATGGGACCAGGTACCTGATTTCTTCCTTTTCCAGGAGGCGGCGGTATGTTGCTATTTCTTGTTCTAGCCTCATCTTTGTGTTGAGAAGCATCTCATGCTCCTGCAGCTGCTTCTCGATGCCGTGCCTTACTTCCTGCAGCTCTCTCTCCAGGCCTTCAATCACGGCCTCCAGGTCTTGCAGCTGCGTCTGGTAATGCTGCTCACTGGCCTGCAGGGAGTTTTCGAGGCCCCGTTCCTGTTTTAGATAGATCTTCATCAGTGATCAGTGGAACACAGCGCGTTTCTGAAATCTGATGTGCAATGTCTTCATTCTCGTGTGTTTTTTCTTTTTTAAAAAAGGTTGTAATAATTCTCTAGCACTTAAATGAGAGGTATAGTTTGGCTTAGTAGATAAAGCATCGGCCTGCGGAATGAAGGGTCCCAGGTCCAACTGTAGTCAAGGGCACATGCCTAAGTCGCGGGCACAATCCTCAGTAGAGGGTGTGCAGGAGGCAGCCAATCAATGATTCTCTCTCATCATTGATGTTTCTGTCTCTCTCCCCACCCCTCTTCCTCTCTGAAATCAATAAAAAAATTTTAAAGAAAGAATAAGAATAAGAATTCTGCAGTGCAATGAACTTCTCATTCTTTTTTAAGTGTTAAAATATAGACTATTAAATAACAAAGCCAAAGCAGAATGCATAGAAAAAGCATTTTAGGGAAGTATTTAAATATTTTCTTATTAGACATCTCAAAAGTATGGACTCTCCGCGGTGGTGACTTTGGATAATGACGAGAGCTCTGTTCCTCCACTCCGACAGTTAGAGAGCCACAGGGCAAAAAGCAAGGCTCACTCACTTTGTACTGGGCGAACTAAACCTTGAGGGAAAGAGGGAAGGGGGTAGTTAAACTAGGACCTGGGGTAGAATTTAGTGGCCTTGATTTCTCGTTCACAGTGAGTTTCTCACTGTAAGGTAATGGAGTTCGTCTCTTCCTCCCATCCCCCCGCCACCTCCTTAATCAAGGAGCATCTGGGGACTCCATGGGCCAGTTGCTTTGGAGACCAGGCTTACCACAGCATGGAGAGATTCAATTTCCACTTGCAGGTGGTGCCACTGGCGCCGGGCTTCCTTGAGTTCTGCTTGAGCTGCCCTTAAAGCCTCTTCATCTTTGTCCATCTTTTTGCTCAGATCTTCCTCCAGCTAGAAGAGAGCCAACAACACCAATAACAGGAAAAGAAGGGGCACTCTTGAGAGTGAGGTGTTTGAGAGCAATGATAGAAAAATGGCGTGGGAATCGAATCATTGTTTTCTTTAAGTTGTTGGATTGTACGTGTATGCTTTAGTGCTTCGTTACGAATCATTTAAATGTCTGAGCAAGCCCATTGCACTCTCAGCCTCGGTTTTTTCAGATGTAAACGAACCTCAAAAATCTCTTCCTGCAGTGGCAGTCTATGAAATGCAGGAAAAAAACACACCCATTTAATACAGAGTAACAGTTTACAGGACCTACTTTTGAGGCCTCTGATTCTTAACTTTCCAGAATTTATGGCATTAATAAGGAATAACGATTGAAATTAGCTACTATTTCCCCCATATTTTCTTGTTGATTGCTTTATCAAAGCAGATAAACTGTTATATAACCTAAATTAATCAAGTATTGGACTGGATACATAGATAGGTAATAAATATTGCTGGAAAGTATATTATGAATAATTTAGATCAGTTATCACAGGCATTAAAAACTCTAAAATAGATTTCAGTATTAAGCTCAGCCACCATTGATTTATCTTTTTTAATATGGTCTTTTAGAAGGCATGCTAATTTTGTCTATCTACAGTAGCAGCAAAAAAAATGACTTCCTTAAAAATTGTTTTCTAAATGTCCTCATACAAAATAACAAACGGATTATTGTATAGTTAGCTTTAAATGTTCTTATACTGATGTTGAAAGTCAATGAAAGTCTCTTTTGACTGGATTCTGAACATTTGGCCCCACGAGCAGTAGGAGCAGTGCATGAAATTGGTTGTAATATTTTTAAGCAAAAGTTACTACCTTTTTAAGTTTTTATAAAAATGCATTTCAAAATTAAAAAAATGTAATATGATGGTGCAACAGATTTTATAAAGAAGGAAACACTGCAGAACATGCAAGTGTGTAATGAAGTTTAGGGCAAAGTATCATATACCATTTATATGTTTCTTTTGATTTGTTGTTCTCAGTATTGTTGGCAAAAGCAAGCAGCATCAGAGCAGCTACGAAAGAAAGTGTTGAGCATTTAGGAGCTAGGAGTGCATGAAAACGATGGTATTCGTTGGTCTTTTGGATTTTGGGATGGACAGCGAAGCTTGGATAGTAGCTAGATTCTGAAGATGGCCTGCAATGGACCACCCGTCCCCTAATGGATGTCTTTGTGTGGTGGCCTTCCACATTGCATCTGGGCTGACCTATGCCCGTAGAAGGTAGCAGAAGTGTCAGTTTTAGGCCTAAGCCTTAAGAAGTCCTGACACCTTGCACTTCTATGCTTTTGGAGCAGCATGTAGGAAATCTGCATACTCTGTTGTTGGAGGGATCCTATAGAGAGGCCAGACGGAGATACCCCGAGGCTGCATGGAGAGAGAGAAACATTTGTCTCTGCTGAGCCAGCCTTTCAAAAACCCTGAGGTGCCAGGTCCATGAATGAGCCACCTTGGATGACCCAGCCCAGTTGTGCCCCAAGATGATTGCAGACTCAGCCAATGTCACGCACAGCTGAAGCCACCCCCAATGAACCTAGGCAAGCCACAGAATCGTGAGAGGGAACACAATGCTTTCTTTAAGTTTTGGGGTAGTTTTTGTATAGTAATAAGTAACTGAGTAGCTCCCTATTGTGTAATAATTAAACAGGCTTTCTTGCATTTATTTTAGCTGATTCTGAATTCTTTGAAAACAATCCCCTAAGGTAGATATGTTAAAAAGATTAACCGAAATGTACTGTATGAAGTCTTGCTTTTTGACTGTAGCTTGTAAAGTAAATAACTTGTATTTTTACTAATGCAAAAAAAACCCTGTTTATTAGGTTTATAATTTTCAGAAATTGTCATTAAAATTAATTGCCACCCCCCCCCCTTTCTTTGTAAAAGGTGAACGAACTATTCCAACAGTTAAATATCCCAGTGACTCTGCTTAATCCAGGATACCGATCATTCTTTATGAAGACTGGCAATGTTATCCAGAGGTAAAACTTATATTACTAAAAACGAATAGCTAATGGAGTAAAGTCACATGATTTCCCAGCAATACTTTCCCCCCTTTTTGTGATATTCTTAAGTAAATTTCTTACAGTATGTGGGTGCTCAGAATAGGACTTGAACTCAGATATGGTAGATAAACTAAAAAAAAGAGAAAAAAATTCTTGAATTTCTGAATGATTTCTAAAATACTTGTTTGTACCTTTGTTTAAAGATTTGAGACCCCAATTAATTGCTAAAGGTGTTTGTCACTTTAAAACAAAGTAAGTCTGTAAAACTAGGATTTAACCCTTATTTAACTTGGCTCTCTCTTGTTTTTAAAACTTAAATATAGCATGCCTAAATATTGGAAATATACATTCTCATCTTATATCACAAAAGCAAAAAGCTATAATATAAGTGGAGAATCTATCAATTGGTTGTGGTGGAGTGGGGGGTTGATTGTCCCAATTTATATTAGAATTGTTCTGAATGCCCTGTTCTAATGCCCAGATGATTTCTATTTATAACGATCTGGAATAAAACTGAACTCATTACAAATATCTAGAAATATTTTACTTAGTTTTCCTCAACAAAGTGTGCACGCTAATAAATGTTACTACAAAGCTTGTCATTTTAACGATGTCATTGAAATTATCTCTATAAATAACTCTATATTATCTTTGAAGAATATTTGAAATGCTTCCTTCTTGGAGGATGCCAAGAGAAGTTCGAGTGCACCATTTTATTGTATATCGACCCCATGGTTTATTAATAATCATTACCTCATAATTTACATAAAAAAATGAAATGCATCAATCAACACTTATTTCATGGTCACTTAACAGTATAATCACAGCATTTCCCCCTGTTAGTCCCCGTCACATTGCCGTAAAACCGAAATTCCTTCCCCAGTAGATGCTGCATTGAAAAGGAAATACTGTACCTCAGAGAGGCCGGGACAGGAATTGGCTAGACATGGATTGTCTCCTTATCCTGGAGGGTGTCTGTCTGTATGAAATCATTACCTGGATCCTTGTTGAGAGCACGGTCTCTATCTGATTTCTGGTGAGGAGCTGTTCATAGTTTGCCCTGATCTCATTGAGTAGCTGGGACAGCTCCATTCTTTTCCCATCCTCCACCTTGGCTAACTGAACCTTATCGATAGGATGAGTCGCTGCAGCAGCAGCAGCAGCGCTGCTCTGTCTGCCTCCCAGCCCAGAGCCCAGTGGAGCCTTAAAGACACAGAGCTCCTTTTTTTCACAAGCCATGGAAATTCCCGTGTTCCTATTTAATTATGCAAATATTGGGTAAACCCTTTTCTCCTGTTGTTGGTATAGTAGAAATGTCAGAAAAACAACAACAACAAAAATGAAAACATCCTCAGTATTTCTGAACTGGTTCTCTGTAAAACTGAGTACTTTTTTGGGGAGAGAAAAAAAGGAAAGGTAATGTATCTCATGGGAATGAAATCAGGCATACTAGGAGGACAATTATATTGTAGTTTGTTTTCCCAAGAGATTGCATGGAAATAAATCTGAGTCCAAAACATGATAGCTGAATTTTCTTTTACAGTTTTGCTCACCATTTGAATTCCCTAAAAAAGTGCTGTGGTGGGGCATTGGGATAGGGTGTAAGTCTTGGGGATCCTGACAGTTATTGGAGAAAGCCACCATCAGATTCAGTGGACAGTTGTCATTTGCCATAGGTCTGATGGATTGTATTTCTCTCAGATGCATACGGTGTGGCTCATGTAGGGCTGCTGGCCTGACAGTGGGTTTGATGTGCTGATGTGAATTCCTGAAGGCACATTACAGATGAAACCACAGGAGAGGTAAGTGCTAGCAGAGTACCAGAGCTGAGAGCTAACGCTTGCCCCATTTCAACAAGGTTGAGAAAGGTACCACCAGCTGTTCCCCAACAGAGGATATTCACTGAGGTCCGATTCATTGTGCGGTTGCTCCTTCAATAGTCAACACGGAGTTAATGACAGCTCATGCTCATAAATATAACATTTGTGTAGCTCTTCGAACGTTAAAAAGCACTTTTCCGTCTATCATTGCATCCAATCTTCATCTCCCTGTCATTTTTGTGCCAGTAAAGACTGAGGCAGGAAGGGTTCAAGTGTCTTGCCCAAGGTCACGTGGTGATGTCATGGCATGGTTGGGACTGGGACTTTGATTGGTTGGTTGGGTTCCATATATTGCTTTCCCTGTCTCTGCATTCTCCCTCCCCCTGCCTAAATTTCTTGTTTAAGCTGACCAGCTAGTTGCTAGATGTGACTGAAATGTCTTTGAGACTATATCTGTTGTTATTGTTCTTTGTAGAATGGCTTGGCTGAAATTGTATCTGGAGCATCGTTCAGGAAATAGTCCTCGGCTCTCCCACTCACAGGACCTTTGAATGTGCATGCATCACGCTCTCTCAATTTTTGAATTAACTCACTGCTGGCCAGCCCACTCTGTGCCGTGCATTCCCACAGTCCCCTCCAAACAAAGCTGGTCATTTACAGCCCCTGCTCAGAGGAGGTTCCAGATCATTCCTATACTCTCTTTAACCTGACCCATGCCCCCTTCACAAGGATTGGTCTAGGGATGAACACCTGACTCAAGGACAGCCAGTCCATAGGTCAGAGACCTGTGTTGTCAATGATACAAAAGCTGACTTGGGAGGGCCACTTACGATTATCTAGGCCAAACTGATTCTCTTTCTTGGTAATTGCAAAGTAGAATTTAGAGAATCGGGCACTTGGCAATGGGAGGAGAAGGAAGAAAGTAAAGAATTATACTCTTGTTACTTTATGTAGTTCCTGCTAATCTCTGTCTAAAATACAGAGTGGAACTAGTATCCACAGAGGGCTGACAATCCCGATATTTCTTATGCATTCTAAAACAGTGTTTTCCTATAAAAATAATAATGCAAACCACACATGTGACTTTAAACTTTCTAGCAGCTGTATCAAGAGATAAAAACAGAAATAAGTGACATCAATTTTAATGGGTTTTACTAAACCTGATATATCCAAGATATTATTATTCAACGTATAGTCAATATAAAATATTCATGAGGTATTTTATATTCTCCCCTTTTGATACTATCATTGAAATCCAATGTGCGTTTTTATAGCTCATGCCAATTTGGACAAGCCACATTTAAAGTGTTCAATAGCCACGTGGCTAGTGGCTACCGTGTTGAATGGTGCAGCTCTAATGCTTTATCTGTCCTATATATAAAGTTATGATCAATTTTTATCCTAAAAAGCATATCAGACAGAACTGATGGCAACGCAAGTTTATATGAAATGGATTTTCCTTCCAGGCAATTGTAACTCTGAGTCTTTTGTCTTTGCATTGATATATCAACCAGTGTAGCTGATCTTTTAATTTTGGGGATTATCCTGTAGAGCCTGGGTATTCTTTTTTTTATTTTTTATTAAGTAATTTATCAGCTTAAAATACTGCGAGTTTCTTTTTAAGCCACTCATGCATTGTAATAGGCTTATAGTTGCATAATTGTACTTCACAATATTATTTTAAGCGATAGGCCTCTACTTTACTGGTTTGCCCCCTTTTTGTTATATTGTTGATTTTACTACTCATAGGAGCATGCCTCTACATGGTACAGTTTCATGGGTCAGTTAGGCATATAATTAGACACAGAGATTTGTGTTGGAACGTGTTGTCAGCATTTCTCAGCATGTTCAAGGTGCATGAGCAATGGTTACATGCATTTCCATATGTCCCATGCATGACATTTTATACAGAGTGATTAAGCAGAGTTGACGGTAGTACATATGCAGGCATGTTCTGGACAGATACCAAATTCATTCTTTGTGGCTGTAACTCAAGTAAGAAGTATGGCTATTTCCCTGATCAAGGACTTTGCCTTGGGTTCAATTTTCTCTGGCATCTTCCCTATTGTTTCCCCTTCCTACCTTGTTCTTTGCAGCCCAACATACACAAAGAATGCTTCATGCTTAAAAATGAATGTTACTAGAGGGTGAGGCCAATTTAGGATCAAATGTATACAGTTTCGCTGTATTACAAATCAGATTATGCCCTGGACAGTGAGCTAAGTGGTTAGAACATCAGCCGAAGTACCCAAGAGTTGTGGGTTTGATTTTCAGTGTCTTTCTCACGTTGATGCTTCTCTCTGGTCAAGGTCATGAACCTAGGTTGCAGGTTCAATCCCTGGCCCTGATCAGGATGCGTGTGAAAGACAACCTATCCATGTGTCTCTCTTATATAGATGTTTCTCTCTCTCGGTCTCTCCCCCTCCCTTCTACTCTCGCTAAGAATCAATGGATGTTCTCTGGTGAGAATTAACAACAACAACAAGCCATCCCATTGCCCACACTGGCGAGATGAATGAGCCTCTTCCAGAAGCGCACTCTCCATATCCCATGCCCCTTTCTGCCTTCCTCCTGAGCTTCTGCCACCAGGGAAGAGCTCCCGGGCTTCCTCTGGGCGGGACTCAGCTCCCTGCAGCTGCTATGGTGCATCTGGGTCTGTCTCCCCATCCTCCTCTCCCTTTCCTGCTTTCAGCTTCTCCGCCAGTCTCCAAGTGTCTGAGCACCTTCCAGCCATATAGCTTTTTTTTAAAAAATATTTTTAAAAAAATATTTTATTGATTTTTACAGAGAGAAAGGGAGAGGGATAGAGAGTTAGAAACATTGATGAGATGAGAGAAAAACATCATCAGCTGCCTCCCACATACTCACATCTGGGGATGTGCCTGCAACCAAGGTACATGCCCTTGACTGAATAGAACCTAGGACCCTTGAGTCCGCAGGCAAATGCTCTATCCACTGAGCCAAACCAGTTAGGGCCAGCTGTATAGCTTTGAGACACTATGTGCGTAGCTCATAGCACACTTACACTTGCATATCCACCTGGACTCCTTTCTAATGGAGTCCTAGAAGCGGCACATTTAGGTTTTTCACAGACACATTTTACAGAAGAACTTTTAGCTGTACAATTTTTTTTTTTTAAATTTTATTTCCTCTCAGGCTTGGAAGAGGCGGTAATCCAACTTTGGCAGCTAAATGGTTGGCATTTAAAATACATAGATTAACAAAAGTTTGATTTCCCCACAATCTTTAAGTGAGGTTCAAAATGCTGGGTAATTGTTTTCTCTTTAACTAGACTGTGAACGTCTCAAGGGCCCAGAGCGCATGTCTTATGTTTCTTTGAAACCTGCTCCAACTCCCACTAATTTACTGGGTTTCTCCACTAATCCCTTAGCCTTAACGCTTATTTAATGCCTTTGAACAAACAAATGAATATCAGAGGAGGCTATCTTTTACTAACTTTGTATCTTATCTTGAAAATGGATGATGACAGACTTCTCTTAAAAATATGTTTTGAATTCTGGAAATGTTCGTTGCAAAGCCTGGGTTTGTTTTGACTTTCTCATTATATAACTCGGAGAGGAGTTGCTCTCTTAGGGATTACTGGTGAGTATTAGGTCAGCATGCTAATCTGTCTGTTGGGGAGTGGAGCTGTGTTCATATTAGAGACACTAATTCAGCATACTGGCAATTATTCAGTTTAATACAATTTAATTACATAGATCAGCAATGTTCAACCCTTTTCATCTCATTGCACACATAAAGTAATTACTAAAATTCTGTGGCACACCAAAATTTTTTTTTTTTTCCTGATCTGACAGAAAAATAGGTATAATTTTGATTCATTCACACTGGACAGCGATTTTGTTGACTGTTGTCATTTATTTATTTATTTGACAATCTAAGGAAAAGAACTCAGTTCCCTTGACTGAATGGTCAGGTATTGCATGCTTTAAAAATTCTTGCAGCACACAGGTTAAAAGTCATTGGCATAGATCATAACATTTGTACATGAATATAATACTTCCATTAAAGTGAATCGTTTTGAGCATTTGGAGAAAGCTGGAGTGTGTAGTTTTTACCTTCAAAAACCAATATCATGCCCGGCTGGAGTGGCTCAGTGGATTGAGCATTGTCCCATGGATCAAGAGGTCCCAGGTTTGATTCCTGGTCAGGGCACATGCCCAAGTTGCAAGCTTGATCCCGTGTTGGGCATGCAGGAGGCAGCCAACTGCTGTGTCTCTCTCGTCCATGTTTCTATCTCTCTCTCCCTCTCCCTTCCTCACTGAAATCAATAAAAATACATAAAAAAAAAACCCCAAACCAATATTGTGCTTGCTTTGGCAGCACATATACTAATATTAGAATAAAGTTGAGAAGGTTAGCAGGGCCCTTGCACAATAACATGCAAATTTGTGAAGCATCCCATAAAAAAAAAAAAAAAAAATCACCTCTGAACCCTCCCTAAGCAGCCACAAGACTAGCTATTCATGTCTTAAAAGAGACGTGCGTTGAAGTCAGTATTTTTTGAGAATTAAGAAAACATTTTATATTCTCTTGGATAAATTCTCACTAACTAATTGTTAGTCTTAAAGACTGAGTAAAACAAAACCCAGC